GCTCAGCGTCGCCGCCATCTCGAGCTGGACCAGATGGGGCGGGTGGACTGGGACTCCTGGAGTAGTAGTCGCGGGCGGGACGACTCGCTCCACTCTCATTGGTTGGCCTCGGACACAGCCTGTGAGACGATCTGTGAGACTTCTTTGTGCAAATCCTAAACTCCCCATTGAGAAGGGGAATGTTTGCTCAGAACAAAGACTCGCCAGGGAAGCCACAAAGTGTGTCTAAGTCAAAGCACAATGACAGCCGAAGCTGAAAAGATTAGAAGCTGCAACCCCACACTGGAATTCAGGTGGTTCCCCAGCAACAGGCATGGTCCAGTCCCCTCTTAACCCTCAGTCTCTGACCAAGAATTTCCCTCGAAATTTCTTGGTCTCTACATCTCTCTCCAGGGCAGCTCAGTGTTTCTGGAGTCCGACTGTTCTTAGATATTGAGGACCTTTAGAAAGGCACACAGTTTTCTGGATGCATTTCCCTTATCTGAAAGGCTTGCTAGGAGTATTAAATAAGAAGACGATGCGCTGCTGATACCCTGGGCTTCACTTGGCGAAGGATCTCACGCCCTGTGTCGTCGTGCCCCCCCCCAGCGCCCCCAACCCCCCATATCTAACCGCTGTCCGTGCCAATTTGGATTTCTACCACCGTGTTTCTTTCTGTCTGGGTTCTAGCCAGAAGCAAGTGGTCCACCAAACTTGGCAATAGGAGGAAGTTTCACAAAGGGATTACGGTTTTTTTTACAGAGGCATGGGAAGATTGGGCAAAAAAAGACACAGCCGTGTTTGGTGCGGAACTGTGGTCCCCGACCTAAACTTAAGAGGGTTGTCTGACAAGAGCTGCAGCCCTCTGAGCGAGAGGCAAGTGACCTTGGATGGTGCAAAGGTGTTGGGTAGATGGAATACTTTGATTTCATTCTCCTTTTGTTGGTATCTTGCCAGTCAGTGCCTCTGCTTGGCTGCACCCCGCTCTGCAGCTCAGCCTGGCATACCTGAATGGTGAGCAGCGTGGAGAAGCAAGGGCATGCAGGTGGAAAGTATCCGACCAACAGAAGCTCAATAAATATTTGCAAACTGAAAAAGAAGCTATCACGTTGGACCCCAGGTTCCCGGTTTTTGTGACCTTTCTCCTCGTTCCTGCTGATGAAGCAATTGCTGCCGGGTATTTGGAATACCTTGTCTACCTGACAGTGGCCTCTCATTCTGGGAACACTTAGCACGAGGGGCGGGGTGGGACAAAAACCTTGCCTGGCTATCCCAGCCTCCAATATAGAATTTAAAATGTGCAGGCAGAATGGAAAAAAAAAAATGATGCCCAAGGGGTGTGAAGACACACACAAATGGAGGAGGGACACGCGGGGAGGGGGAGGGGGGACCAGTGGCCTGGGACTGGCTACTGAAAGCAGCTTCACTGGGAGGTTCTGTTCCCCAAAGCTGGAAGATGTAGTTGCTTGGCAGGCCCAGGGTCGAGACTACCGCATCTGTAAGGATGTTGGCTGCCACTGAAGGGTCTCTGTGCCCAGGAGAGGTCAGGTAAACTATAGTAATTCTAGTGCAGCTCACTGGCTGGAAGCAGCTGTGCTTACCACCCACCTATATGACATGCTGTCTCCAGAATTAAACAGTACCGTTGTTTTCCGTCCACTTTAGGGTTAGGACGTCATTGGAAAGATAACACCCTTTGCCTGACCTAGTGCTGAATTTCTCTATCTCAGATTAAGGACACTCCCTGACAGATTTCCCTTTGTAGTCCCCTGATTTTGTCCGTGATTAAGTGACACTGGCTTTCAGTTCTGAGTCCGATATGGAAATGCTGAACTGTAGAAATTGTGGCATCTGGGTCAACCCCATCCCTATGCCGAACTGGGTTTAAGACACTTGTTTATGTCTCATGTGGACAGATTATGATAAATGTGAGGAGACGTGAAATCGACATCTCTCTTATCTATCTCTGTCTCTCTCAGCTAGCTGGAGCTGCTAGTTATACATACAGACGTAACTTCGGGCTCCCGAGCCTCCAGCCTGCGTCCCCCATGTGCTGGGATTACAGGGATGCAGCGTCATACCTGGCAGCGAGTTGAAATTTCTTGAGGCTGAACTATCAGGTAAAATACTGACTGCCATGTGAGGCACACGGCTGTAGAAAACCGTACGGAGACCAGAGAGAGCACACTAGTAGGAGCAATAGCAGATGTTGGATTGAAATTGTAGGAAATCTGGTTTGTTTGTTTGTTTTTTACTTATTATGTATACAATGTTCTGGCTGCATGTATCCCTGCAGGCCAGAAGAGGGCACCAG